ACTTAAGTGTTAGATGTAGAGGAAGCCTGTTCATTGGAGCAAACCGAGTAACTCAAGCAGCACAAGTAGAATTGTGTTGGGAAATAATCGCTTTGTGAAATATTCGGATACATATGCTACAATATAACATGAATGTTATGTATGGCTGTTAATGAACAATCCAAAGTTCGAGTATGTTTTCCCATACTGTTTCATGAAAAGTGCTAGTTTTTTCTTCCGTTTATACATCATTTGATTTACTTTGACTAAAGTAACCAGATTTCCGCTTGATTTTACTGATTGGAAGGTCGCAGGAGTAAGAGATTTCGTAAGCTTAGTGACGGACATGCCGGCCAGTGACTAATAAACGTACATAAAATTGTCAAGTACATCCGTAAAAGGGCAAAAGTAGCTTATGTAGCCCCACTGATATAGCCCTAGTCCCAGTAATCTGTCCTACCAAAACGGTGCTTATATGGTTTCGGGGGTGGGGAAATAGGAAAAGCAGTCTGGCCAGACCGTTGCCAGAAAGTTGGTCCTCGATTGGCACAGTAAACAGAGCCATGGACCTTCATCCCGCCTACCAAGCGCTCCGCAAAAGGCTAACATCGGCTCAGAACGGAGCAATAAGTCGGGCGGAGAGAGATAAGGAGGGCCGATAGCCGCTAGCCGCGAGCAAAGAGGGTGGAAACGCTCACGAGTCACAAAAACGACTTGACATAGCTCACAACGACGCGAGCAATCCAAATGGCCAAGAAAATCGATCGGCGCAATCGACTGACGCATGGGCGAATGGTCGTTCACAATTATCTGACGCACACAGGAATAGAGACACCTTGCTCTGACGATGAAAGCGAGAGAGCTTTTGAAACGTCAGCCGAAATATATTTGGTCTCAGAAGTCGTCTCCTCTTCTTCCTCTTCCGAGGATGATGTAAGGAATACTAAAAAAAGTAGCTACTTAAATAGTATGCCTTTTAGTCATTGGTTTTGACTGCCTTTAGATATTCAAATATATTTTTTGGAAAACATGCAGGAAAAAAATATTTCTTGTACTCATTTGGTAGAAAATTACGCCTTCTTTAAATTTTATACATAAAGAGAGTGTATATTTCGGTTTTAAAAAAGTTTCTAAATTGCCGAATAATCTTAAAATCTACTGACTGCTACATTGGAATTCAAGGTTTACAAACTGCGCACTGCGTACATCCTGTTTGATGAAAAGTACGTTTTCGCCTACAGTTTGAGGAAGATCTTATATAGTTCTCATTAAGTGTTGCAATAGATATTGAGCATGCCTCATACAGTAAAAGCAGCATTAACAAATTGACGGATATACTTTTCTATGAATGAACACCTGAAAATTGTAAAATAGCCCAATTTGACATTTTTTTAAACTGAAAGATGCACTATCTTTAAATTTAAAATTTAAAGAAGGCGTAATTTGCTACCAAACAAGTATAAGAAATAATTTTTTCTTGCATGTTTTCCAAAGAAATATATTTGAATTTTTCAAGGCAGTCAAAATCAATGACAAAAGGCATACTATCTAAGTAGCTACCTTTTGTAGTACATACTTTTATTTAGCGCTCAGAAAGAAGCACATTAAAAAGCCGGCATCCTGATGTGACAAAAATGTATCGAGATTAGGCTGTACGATCTTGGTTTTTAAAACCATACGTAATTAATATGTTTGACTCGAAAACGCATTTCAGCATTCCGGGTGACGTTTCATGAGATAGGGAATCTACTGTAAATAACAAACTTATAATCATTTTTCTTATGCAGCTGTCTGCTTGCGTCATGCTTCCAGAATCATCAAAACATGTAAACTCATTTCCGAGAAAAATGAAAGTCCGGAACAAAATTCGCAAATGCATATGCCTAAGATTAACTAAAAATTTTCTATGACAAATTACCTCTTGAAAAGCGCTTTGCTTAGATATTCTGACGTCGATCCTCTGTGTATTTTAACTATTTGAAGATTACGTCAAGACTAAAGTAGCAACTTCCAGCCAGTTTTTGTTGACTTCCCTAAATATGTCTTATGCTAAAAATGAATGAACTCACTTTTCTATGTATACCATAGCAGTTTTAAGTATATTTTTAACTTATTGGTGCAGTTTAAGGTTAAAAAAGCAGAGCAGAGCAACAGAATATGAAGGACGGTTCTTCAAGATTGTATATTCATTAACTCTGCTCTACAGAGAGAAAATGTGAGAAAATCTTTTGCGTACGGCTTGACAGATAAAACTTACGGCCTCTCTCGGATGTTTGTATAGATGTTTTTTTAAAGTCGTTATTTTCGGTGGGGTAAAACGCATTACAGCCTTATATCAGAAGAAATAGAAGTATTCATCGGGAGAGGTTTATTATAAGCCTGACATTTCAGGTTATTTTCTCGTCTACCCAGCTTCAGAGAATGGTCACTCTGGCTCATGGTCCTCGTCTTTATGCCGCTTTTTCTTGCGTGTGCGTGCGTGTCCTACCAATCATGGTTGAGTCACTGCGTGTGTCTCTCGCCACGCCTTCAGTCTCCTCGTTTGCCCTGTCTGTCACCATGCCGCCTCTTGTCGCGCCCCGACTTGCTCCCG